CGGTGATTCGCGGTCTCGTGTCAACTCTACTGGTGGACGGACAATTAACTAAGAGCACGCGAAAATACATTGTCGGCACTGACTAAAGGAGACTTGACGATCTAATGTGATGCTGAGACAAACGTTTTACATTGAGGACCGTTAACGTTAGACGCGCATATGTATAGGTATTGTTACGTATAAATACTTAATACTTAATCTTAAACTTAATACTTAATACTGTAATACGTTAATACTTAATACTTAATACTTAGATTACCTTAATTACTTAATACTTAATACTTAATAGCTTAATACTTAACAACTTAATACTTAACACGTATGGTAGTGTATATGGCCAGACACTAGTAACAGTGAAAAACACTGTCTTCCTACACTGATATACTAATACGCTTGATATATTAGGCAGGCCCGATTAGAGACATCAATTCTCTATCACTGCCGGACAGTTTAAATTCGACTCCTGGCAGGGAGCTGACTTGGCTGTCTGTCGGCTGCTTGCGGTTCTTGGTAGTCGGTTTGGCTGATCTATTCGGTAGATTTCTGCGTGACTCGTTTGCACTCCGGAAAGACATTACACGGGCTCTTTAAGCGAGGACATGCCGTCGCAATAAATAGGCGCGGACCAACCCGAGTGACAACAGCTGCACGTGACTAGTACCGCTGATTAAACAATATAATAACAGTGAGCGTTCATACGCACGCACGATAACTGCACATCCGTAGCGAAAGCTATATAGCCCTTCAACACCACAATAATGAATCAACGACAGTGTGTGCTTATAATAGGAACGCGCAGTAAAAGATATTACACGTAAGATGCGCCATAAAATGAATGTAAACTATGTCGGCATTCGAGGCTTATAGTAACGCTCGGAGGCATGAGCTATGCCTCTTTCGCGAAATTAGGACTACACAAGGTTATATCCAACTGTTATCCTGTAGACGGCTAGATCGTTTTCAGTAAGCATGTTAGATGCATTCTGTATGGTATGCAATAAACTGCTGAAAGATTGAAAATATAAACTTCACGTGCATCCCAACTTTACCCAATTCAAAATGCAATATTATCGGGATCGGAGTTGTCACACAGTAAACGTGATTAGCCCAATCAATACCTGGTGACGACGTGCGTTAAGGCCGTAGATCTCATAAAGAATATTCTTTCGGAATCAATGACGGTTAAACGATGAAATAAAGACACTAACGTTGAATTCTACAAGATCTGGTAAAGCGCTACGGATTAGCAGTAGATCCAAAATAACATAGTATTCTCGATATTAAAATGTGAAAAAGTCTGGCTTCGTCGCTAGCTCGTGTGAGAACACCACCACCGCCGCCGCCGCCTCCGCCGCCCGCTACCACTTACCACCACCACCACCACACCACCACCACCACCACCACACCACCACCACCACCACCACCCACAACAAACAACAACAAGCAACAACAACAACAACAACAACAACAACAACAACAAAACTCCACCATCCCCACCGCCGCGCCGCCGCCCGCCGCGGCCGCCGCCGCCGCCGCCCCGGCCGCCGCCGCCCCGCCGCCGCCGCCGCCACCTATGCACCACCAGCACCACCACCACCACCACCACCACCACCACCACCACCACAACAACAACAACAACAACAACAACAACAAACCACCACCATCACCACCGCCGCCGCACAATAACTTCTTCCGTAAAGAAATACATAGTCTGGCCATATTCGCTAAAATCGAGCACATCGTTGGCGATGGTAGTATAGTAGTATGGTAGTATGGTAGTTGTTGTTGTTGTTTTACTATGCCTACTTTTATGACTAAATATAACCTGGTCCGGTAATGGAGCCGGACTTCACTGTTTACCCCACCAAGTGTGTGCGCGCCCACGCACGCACGAGCACACGCACGCGCGCACCCACGCACACGCACGCGCGCACCCACGCGCACGCGAGCCCGCACACGCGCCCGCCTGTGTGTCCAAACTCACGCATAAGCGTTGTTCGTGCGATAACGCGGCGAGGGCCTTTCTTATTGTCTACTATCATCTTTTATAATCGGGTAAATGGTCAGGCGCGCAACAACTGCCACTACGCGCCATGCACGCCGTGACGACGAATTCTCATTTTAATCACGTAGATAATTCCATCGTGGGTGGCA